CGGCGGCGCTGGGAATCCGCAGCGCGGCGGGATGGCCAAGGTCACCGGGAAAAGCAGCCGCGGTCGCCATGGAAACGCATAGCATTTGCTTCTGGAAATCAGGGTGGTTTTCTTCTCCCTTGGCCCCCTGCATCTCAGCTGCGATTCCTCCTTGCAGGAAGCAGCAAGCCCCATCCCTTAGCCCCAAGGTGGGGGCAGCCCCCGGGGCCTTTTGCTCAGATATTTGGCATGAGGAGGCTGTGCAGCCCCCCCAGCTCCTGCAGCCTAGGACCACACCAGGGGAAGGGAGTTTGGGGTGATCTGGGATCAGCTGGGGCCTCGCTGCCGGGGCCTGGAGCCAGAGCTGGGCAGAGCAAGGGGAGCGCCGAGGAGAAGGAGGAGGCACTACGAAGCAGCTCAGCCCTGCAGCCAGGGAGATGCACGGAGCCAAGTGCTGGGCAGGGGAAGGAGCTGGGGAACAGAGCGGGAGAGTTTGCCAGGGCTGGCGGGAGGGTAGTCTACGCTGGACAGTCAGCGCAGCGAAATCCCTGAACCCGTCGTGTTCCTGCTCCCAGCATCCCACCCCAGCATCCCTCTCCCATTATCTCAGTCCCAGCATCCCTGTCCCACTGTCTCAGTCCCAGCATCCCTACTCCAGTATCCCCATCCCACTATCCCTGTCCCACTATCTCAGTCCCAGCATCCCCCACCCCAGCATCCCCATCCCACTATCCCAGTCCCAGCATCCCCCACCCCAGCATCCCCATCCCACTATCCCAGTCCCAGCATCCCCCACCCCAGCATCCCCATCCCACTATCCCAGTCCCAGCATCCCCCACCCCAGCATCCCCATCCCACTATCCCAGTCCCAGCATCCCCCACCCCAGCATCCCCATCCCACTATCCCAGTCCCAGCATCCCCCACCCCAGCATCCCCATCCCACTATCCCAGTCCCAGCATCCCCCACCCCAGCATCCCCATCCCACTATCCCAGTCCCAGCATCCCCCACCCCAGCATCCCCATCCCACTATCCCAGTCCCAGCATCCCCCACCCCAGCATCCCCATCCCACTATCCCAGTCCCAGCATCCCCCACCCCAGCATCCCCATCCCACTATCCCAGTCCCAGCATCCCCCACCCCAGCATCCCCATCCCACTATCCCAGTCCCAGCATCCCCCACCCCAGCATCCCCATCCCACTATCCCAATCCCAGCATCCCAGTCCCAGCATTCCCACCCCAGCATTCCCACCGCAGTATCCCCGTCCCAGCATCCCCGTCCCAGTATCCCACCCCAGTATTCTCC